AATACGAAAGTGACCCAGATCGGATTTGAAAATATCGGATTTGTGCCGTTCACACTGTCACACCATGATTGGATATGGGTCGCATAGGGTCAAAAAAGTCAGATTTGATGCGTTTTTGCCTGCAGTGTGAACGTAGCCTTAGATTATGTGCAATATCAGGCCTTGAAACCACAACAGCAGGTCAGATTATTTGTCAGATTATTCCATTAAATTGCTCTAAAACCTGGAACAGCAGCACACAGCGACCTGTGCTGCTACGTTTGTCAGTGAAAGCAGCTCAACTGAAGTCTTCTGGAAGGATGCTTCTTAACACTGAGCAAAGCGGTCTTTGAGGAAGCGCTTCCTGAGTGGCGGTTAACATCGGTCTGCTCTCAGGTGATGCTCTGGTCTGCTGCTTGCTGACGAGGACTTAATGAAACATGAGTGAGGTTCCTTTGCTTCCAGTATGAATGTTATGTTTGATAAACGTCTATCACTGTTTTTTAAAAAGTGTTATAGATTTTATTTTGAACATTTACAAGGATCACACTAATATAACCCATATGTTGTCATGGAAACACTATTTTTTAAGAACTTTAATATCAAATCTGAGCAACGTTTTTTTGTTTTTTAGGGACATCGCAGGCAGAGAGACAAAGAGGCCACAGTTTAGCCAAGCAGAATATCATCCAGTCTTTGCTGCAGTTCTTCTGAGAGCATGTGTTTGTGTTTCAAATCCTCCAGCAAGCTTTTTACTGTCTTTTTGTGCCTTCTTTCCCGATCCTTAGCATTTCTCAAGTCCCGACGCAATTCTTCCAGCTTCTCCCGGGCCTCGTTTAACCGCTTTTTTACTTGCACTGGGTCTAGAGCATACTGATGATCCTGAAAAATATTACGACTGAATGAAAAGTGGCTTTCTAACCGACGAAGGTCCAGAATGTGTAAACGGCAGCTGTCACTCACAGATGTTTGCTCCACAGCCTGCACCTGTGGGGGTTCTTCTGCAGCTTTCTGGGAGGTCCTGCTTGTCCTGGTTGCAGTATGTTCCTGGGAAGGTTCAGAGTGCAAAAGGTTTTCCTCACAGTTATCACTCGGTTCAACACAGCCTGTGATATGTGATACTCACCTTGCCGAGATGTCTTGTAAATAAAAAAACGGATGGGATCACTCCTTCTCTTATACGAGTCGTCTGTCCAGTCCTGTCAAAGTCTTCTGCTTTGAAATGACAGCTGCAGACAACCGAGCGGTCGTTTGGCTCAAAGTCTCTTCTCTTCAGGGCCCTTTTCCATAACTGCCTTTTAACTTTGTCCTTCGGGAACCTACAGAGATAAGACCCTCATGAGGAGAACAGCATGTAGTCCTGTTGTATTCTCAGCTTTTCTCATTTCATGTTAGCACTGCTGATTCAACACAGCTGCCTGTTTTTGTGTTCACCGTATCCCATTATGGAGCCTTAAGC